GCAATCTGAACTTAGATCTGACTACAAGGGCCACAGTAATATATGCTATGTTCCAACACCAACATTATTACAAGTGGCCATTGAGAGACAGTTGTACAAGAGTCCAAAACTGACTAGAAATGTCAAGTGTCTGAATTACAACAACCCTTTCTTTCATCAAAGCTTATTTCTTAAAAGCTGATGACTCACAAAATCTGTTTTCAAAACAGACTTAAAAACATTTTTTCTATGAGAACTGATACTCTGAAATAGACATGGAAGGAAAATTTTTAACGAAGCCCAAATCAGAAGTTGTAGCCCCAAATTCTACTTACCCCCTATCAGGAATCAGGAATCAAAGCCAAGCAAAACAAAGCCTAGCGATCTTTTTCAGGAGCAAACATGCTGGTCACCATAACCCTTTCCCCACACCATTAAAAGAGATGACTGAGTTACCACTACCCTTTAACTCTTGCTAACCATATCAAAAGACTAGAGAGACAACACAGAATTTTTAAACCAGCCTCTATGATATGCCTATCATCATAAATAATTACTTTAAACTACTTAATATGAATTTAAAAATCTAAGTACTCATATGTTTGTGATCTCTTCTTTCTGAAGGTCCTCAATAGCTGATCCCTCTTAATGAAGACAAAAATACCGATTGCAATTAGAGGAACAATTCCGAGGAAGAATATCAGAAGTCCGTTCCTCAAGGCAGCATTCTTTTCTAGAGAGAAGGAGTTTACATGAATGATCATTAAACTGGAAGTTAACATATATTAACTAAAACATACTAGGTGATGACACATTCCACATTTTCACAAAGTCTCACCAATATAAATTGAAATACATTCAGAAGTCTTGTTCAACATCTCAGCCCTACCCACTTCATTTGTGCCTTCCCAAAGATAACCACTTTTATTAATTTCTTGTATAATCTTACAGTATTTCTTCATGTGAATATAAGCAAGAACAAAATGTTTTACCATTAACCCTTTTTTCACGCTAAACGTAGCTCAGCATAAATGCTATTCAGCATATTATTTTTTACTTATCTATACTATATATCATCCCAAACCATATGTAGAGGCCACCTCATTTTCTGTACAGCAATACAAAACTTCATTGTAAGAATGTCTCATCATTTATTTAATCAGTAGATACCCTACTAATACTTTTATCTTTCCAACCTTTGCAATTACAAAAAAAATCTTAATAAAGAAACTTGTGCATATGTCATATCATATGGGTGCAGGTATACATACAGAATAATTTCCCAAAAGTATAATTGCTATATCAGAGGTTAAACGCATTCATCATTTTGTTAAGGCATTGTCAGCTGGTCTACTACAGTAGTGGTCACACGTTAGCATGCCTGCCAGCAATATACAAGAATTCCTCACAGCCTCACCCACAGAGTCAAATGTCTACATTTTCTCTAACCTGGCAGGTGAAAAATTATATCTTATGTGATTTTTACTTGTGTTTCTCTTTTTATACCATGATTTGAACAACTTTTCATGTTTAAGGAAACCCTGTATTTCTTTTTCTTCTCAGTCCTTTGACTATTTTTCTACTGGTCTACTGGGTTTTTGTCTTCTCAGTTGCTAAAAACTCTTTATATATTAGAGAGAATATTTTTTCTGTGATATGACTTGGAAATACTTCCCGCATTTTGTCATTTGTCTTATAGTGCAATGCTTTTCTCCATGCATAAGTTTATTATTCTGAGGTAGCTGAATTTATCAATCTTATTTTTTACAGCTTCTGGATTTATAACTTCTTAAAATGCATTAATTAACATTAATTTTGTCTGTTTTATGTTCTTCTGTGCAAGAATATTGTAAATATGAACATGAGTGGTAAACTGTGAAATTAGCCTCATAATTATAAACCTGTCGAAGTACCTAAACTTTCTGTTAAAAGTTATATGAAACTATATGAAACAACATTCAACCCAATTAAAAATAAAAATATGAGAAATTAAAGCAAGGTTGATATATCATTTCATACTTCCTAATAAGTAAACAAAATTTAAATTAAAGCATCCAACGCTAGCAAAGTTATGTTGAAATTGGTACCTTCATGCTGTCAGTGGCATTACACAGGTTCATCTGGAATTTTTATTGAGAACCATAAAAAAGACTATACCCGTCAGTCTAATTAATAATCTCATCAGTGGCAACTTATCTCTCAATTGGAAAAAATGCAGTAAGTACTGAGATGTGCACTACGATATTCCCAGTGTGTATCAAAAACTCAGAAACAACCTGAATGTCAAATAATCAGAAAACAGCTAAGTCAAGTAATGGCACATCCACTCAACGGGATGACACACAGCCGCTAAATCCCATAGTTCTGACTCCCACTTCTCGCTAAGATGGAGTAACAGGGGCCAGATTTACCCTCCCAGCTTTAACAATCAAAAAACCAAACAAAATACATGAAGCGATGGTTTTCAAGACACTGGACATGAGGTGATGAAGAACAGTGATCCCTGAGAGACAGAAAACAAATAAGGTGAGCATTAAACTGTCCCAGGATGCTGCTAGAGAAAGTTCTAGAAAGTGTTAGATTGTGAGGAGAGTTGAGGAACCCAAGCAAAACCCCGTGGTCTCCCTGAGTTGAGGAATGGAGCTGGTTGTCTGAGGAAGCCAAGGCAGCTCAAGTTCACTGGGCAAAGGACCAGGAGGGAGGGAGCCGCACAGACAGGACTTGAAAGCTCTGCTGAGGGCCCCCAGCAAACCTTCAGGTGAGGACGGATCACTGTACGCAGGTAAGGAAACCACCTGAAGCCAGAGAAACACCTGAAAGGATTAGTGGGAGCAACCCCACAATGCACACAGGACCGGGAAGAGTGCCCCGTCCTACCACATCCAGGGGAAAACGCCACAGTTAACAACAGTGAGTAGGATGAACAGAAGGGGTCTGCCTCAGTAACAGGGCAAAATCAGCCCTCAGCTAAATGTAGAGCTTAAAAGCAAGATTCAAAAGGACCAAACTAAGTCCAAGTAAGTTAAGCTGACTAAAACAAAGCTCATCAATAGAAATCCAAAAATATCTAGTATCCAACAGGCAAAATTCACAATTTCTGGCATCTAGTAAAAAAATTATGAGGCATGTAAAGAAGCAGGAAAAAATGACTCAAAATCAATCAGAGCGGAAAAATCAATCAAAACTAAGAAATGATGCCGATGATAGAATTAATAGACAAGGACATTAGAAGTTATTATAACTGTACTCCACATGTTTAAGAAGCTAAAGACTGAACATGCCGTGAAGAGACGTGAAAGATACAAAGAAAAAAGAGAGGGGAGGGATGGAGGGAGGGAGGAAGGAAGGAAGAAATAAAAATTTCAACATCTAAGATGAAAAATACACTGGATGAAATTATTAATGGCAGATCTGACAGCACAAAAGAGTGAAATGACAATAATAGCACAAAAGCTGGGAGGAGTGAAAAGGAAGGATATTGACATGATACAATATTACATGAAGGGAGATTTTGATAGAAAATATCAATATGGTAGATTTAAACCCAAACATATCAATAATCAAATTAAATATAATTGTCCAAAACAACTCAATTAAAAGGCAGAGATGGGCAGAGCAGTTAAAAAAAAAGACCCACCTATATGCCACCTACAAGAAACCCACTTTAAACATAAAGACACAAATAGATTAACTGATGTGGGAAGTAAGGCAGAGGTTTAAGGATGCCCAATTTCTGACACGGGCCACTGGGAGATCTCAGTAATTTTCCTCTATTTTACTTGCCATTATATGCAGGTCCACTGTCCACACTTCCTCCATATCCTGGAGTCTCACAGTTGGGGGGAGCCCACTCATCATCACAGTGACAATTCTTATTGCTATTACATACCTTCAAAATAATCAAAATACCACTTTTGTTAATTATGAATGTTGCTGTAAATCATGAGCTCAAGAATGGAAACCAAGAGAAAAGGATAAATTCATGCAAAACCAGACACTCTTTTTAAGGATGAAAAATTTATCAGACATCTAAATTCCCCAATATCTAAAAATCTAAAAATCTTAAGAAATCTCACTGAGCAGTCTCATTATTCAGCACTAATTTTGTGAACAAATCAAAAGAGAGTATTACCTACCCCATGTCCATGACACTTTCCCTGAATATCACAGTCATAATTCAGAACTGAAGCATTTACACACTGGAAATTTCTACAGATCTGGGGAAAAAAAAGTAATGAGTAAAGAAAGACTGAACACATTGATAAACTAGCCAGAAAAAAAGACCTAGGTGTAGATTATCTCATTGGTGAATTTTTCCAAATGTTTAAGGAATAGTTAATTCCCATATTATATATTTGAAAAGGTAGAAAAATAAGTGAAATTAACTAAGTGACATAGAACTAATAATCAAAAAGGACAAAGATGACACAAAGGCTAAAAACAAAAGATAAAACCAAAATCTATCCTTCCATACAAATATAGACGTGAAACTCCAAAGTAAAACAATCACAAGTGGATTTTTTTCAAGTCAGATAGAAAGGTTCCCACTACTACTGAAAAGGATCAATGATAGGAAATCTATTACTGTAATACCTCACAAAAATTGTCATTATTAAAACAGATAATCAAAATAGCATTTGATAAAATTTGGAGCTCCTTTTTATTTTTAAAAATTCTTTCCAAAATAAGAATAAAAGGTACTTTGTTGATAAGACAAAATTTATCTTTCAATATCATGACTAATTATGAAACTAAATTCATTAAAATCCACAGACACTCTTTTTAAGAAACAAAATTGGAATGATTCCATGATATTTTAAATTTTTTATGGCAAAATAAACAATGAACTGTAAAAAAAAATATTTACAACAGACATAACTGACTGCCAGTTAATAATCTTTATATATGAGGAGCCTGTTAAAATAATAACAAAAAGATAATTCAACAGAAAAACAGAAAGATATGAATACGGACTTAACAGAGTAAGTGAATATGAGTATGAATATGGCCTGTAAGATTTATGCTGAGAAATCCACTGATAGTCCTGTGCAGTCTCCTTTGTAATTTGCAAGCTTCTTATTTCTTATTGCTTTTAAGATTCTCTGTTTTTCTTTAATTTTTTGGCAGATTTATTATAACGTGTCATGGAGAGAATCTCTAAGTAGATTTTGTTTGCTGACCCATTTGCTTCGTGAACTTGGATATGAAATTTCCTCCTCAGCTTTGGGAAGTTCTCAGCCATTATTTCATTAAATAAGCTTCCTGCCCTCTTCCCCCTAGTCTCCTCTGGAACTCAATAATTCACAAATTGTTTCTTTTGACATTATGCTATCACATCAGGTTTCTTCACTCTTTTTCATTCTTTTGCTCTTCTTTTCCTCTGAATGGATAATCTCAAAGTTCCTGTCTTCCAACTCAGAGATTCTTTCTTCCATTTCATCCATTCTGAGGTTGATGTTCTGCAATATACATTTTTTTTTCATTTCATTTACTGTACTTTTCAGCTCCAGAATTTGTCTGGTTCTTTTTTTATGATTTTTATCTCTTTAGTAAACTTTTCATTTTGTTCGTGAATTGTTTTCCTGATCTCATTAAATTGTCCTTCTGTGTTTTCTTCTAACTCATCGAGCATCCTGAAAACAGCTATTTGAGTTCTTTACTGGTACATCTCAGATCATATGTCTTTGGGATCAGTGACTGGAAAATTATTGTGATCCTTTGGTGGTGTCATGTTTCCTTGATTGTTTATATTCCTTGAAGTTCTATACTGCTGTCACCTCCTCCAGTCATTACAAACTACCTTTATTAGAGAAATACCTTCCCTTCAATCGTGCTAGGATCCTAAGGCCTTTTCAGACTACTAGGAAATGCCTGTTCCATCCTTCTTGCTCCCTCTTAGGGCAGAATTCTTAATCTTATTGATCTTATTGCCTTCTCTCAATCCTGCAGCACACCAAGCCAAGTGCTGATAACCTTTCCCAAAAGTGATGCTGAAGCTCAAATCTGCAGTCTCTGTCTGGCCATTAGATTCTGGCTGGCTTTCTGCACATGTTCAGTAGCTGTATGCAGAAGCTCAGTCTTGCACCACTGTTGGGAGGGCACATAGAATGCTGGCCACAGGGTGAGTGGTGTCCGGGTGAGGCAAGCGGAGAGCTGGGGATGCTTGTGGGCCACTTGGTGAGGGGTCTGCAGGTGAGGGGTCTGCACTCGTGGCTGGGCTTCTTGATGGAGTCCACCTCACAGTAGAATCTGCATTCCTTTTACATCCTCTGAGAAGCCTATATGCCACTCTCCCAGCTTCCTCTCATCCCCTAGTCATGCCGCTCACAAGTCAGTACTCTGGGTACAGAATGGGCCCCTGACAGCTGCGGAAGCCAGTTACTCACATACCCGCTCTCATTTCCCCCTCACAGGAGAGATCACAAGCTGAAAATATCCTGGTCCTAAGCTGTGCTGCCTGGGTGAGGGGGGTTGAGGGTAAAGTCAAGCCATTATCCTTACCCTCTCCTGTGCCTCCAATCTCATAACTTTTTGCTCTGATATTGTGCTGGAACTTCTCCACTGGAAACCTGGGCTTCCACAAGGACTCTCTCACCATGGGTGACAGACTAAGATGGTATTTTCCATGGGCTTCCAGCCTGCAGCCCAGAAGGGCTAGAGCCAGGCACAGTCCACTGCAGGGTCCACACCCAGAACTGAGGTCTGTGTGCCTATTTACCTGACTCATGAAGGGCAAGGCCCTCCCAGGTCCCTTATATTTGATGCTGGATCCCACAGTTCCCCGAAAGGTACTTCTTTGGATGCCAAGTTGTTATTGTTAGAGGGAGCTCTTATTCATCATGTTGTTGATGTTACTCAAAAGCCGGGGAGTGTTATTTTAATGGAAGTTCCCCGACAAGGAAACAGTGAAGCAGGGAATAAGTATCCCTTGAAGACAATTAAGGTAACACCCAGCTGATGTCAAAGCTAAGTACTAAAAGTGTGCTTTCTTTCTTATACAGCTTTTGTTTTTACTACCGCTATCACTGGCCTTTCTTCTTACACATTTGGCCTTTGTCATATCAATATTCAACCTCCCCACAAAAGAAAAAAAAAAACCTCTCTCATGTCCTTTCCCTCTTTCAAGTTCCCTCTTTCTCCAGAAACCTCCCTGCAGATCCCCTTGTTCCAATATAAACAGATGACTCTCCTGGCCTGGCCTAGTACACAGCTGCTATCTTACAATTTCTCTTTGACATTCTTTTGGGTCCTAGATTGTAATTCTTTCTCTTTTTGGTTTACTTCCTCATTTGCTTGAACATTACATTAAATGATTTCCTAAAAATGGGTAAAGAAAAGGTAAATTTTCTGAAAAGAAAGTTTGAAAAGATGAACTGTCTGAAATGTCTTTATTGTACCCCCTCACTTGATGGCTACTTTGGCTGTGTACCTCATTCTAGGCTGAGAATCTTTCATCACCCTAATGCACACAGCTGCAGCACTACAGCCCCTCTCCTGGACATCCTGAAAGAACAGCAGTGAAGGGAAATCCTCCCAATGGACAGAACTGAGCAGTGCACCAAGTTGTTCTCTTGGAAGTTTGCTTGGAAGGAGAAAAGGCCATATGTGCTTTCTACACCAAGTCATGGTCTGTGGCCAATAGTTTGGCAGGATTGTCAGGACTTGGAAGAAGCATGATTGGAAAACTGGTGAGAAGGAAATTTGTAGTAGTATACGAACAGAGTTATATGAATGGGCAAACAAGAAAAAAAAAGATATATTTGACTTTCAGTCAAAATCAATTGCAAGAAACAAAGTCACTACATACTGATAAAGAAATCAAATTATCAAGACGATATGACAATTTTAAGTAGATACACTTCCGACATTGGCACACCTAAATATTTAATGCAAGTAATAACAGAACTGAAGAGAGAAATAGACAGCAATATAATAATAGCAGCAGACTTCAATTTCAACAATGGATGGATGATCCAGACAGAAATGTAATAAGGAAACATCAGACCTAAAGAACACCATAGACCAAAATGTACATAACAGACATATACAGAGCATTCCACGCAACAGCAGCAGAACACCTATTCTTCTCAAGAGCATAAAACATTCTGCAGGATAAATCATATGTTGGGCCACAAAGCAAGATTTAACTCACTAGCTCAAAATCCTAACTGGTCTCTTTTTCGAGCACAGCAGTAGAAAACTAGAAATCAATAATGGGAGGAGGAAAACTGGAAAATTCACGAAAACGTGGAAATTAAACAACACACTCCAAAGAAGCAATCCTGTCACTTGCAACAACATGGATGGACCTTCAGGGCATCCTGGTTGAGAGAAATAAGCCTGACAAAGAAAGGCAAGTACTGTAGGATCTCACTTATATGTGGAATGTTTTAAAAAACCAAACTCAGAAACAGAGAGTAGAGTGGTGGTTGCCAGGGGCTGGGGAATCGGAGAAATGGGGAGATGTCAGTCAAAGGGTACAAAGTTCCAGTTATCAGATGAATAAGTTCTGGGGAATCTAATATTCAGCATGGTGATTATAGTTGACAATACTGTACTATACACTTGAAAATCAATACGAAAGTAAGTATTAAATGTCCTCACCACACACAATACAAATTCTATTTATGTGAGGTAATAGATGTGTGAACTAACCTTATTGTGGTAATCATTTCACAATATATATGTGTATCAAATCATCACACTATAAACCTTAAACTTACACAATGTTATACATATTGACTGTATCTCAATACAGCTGCAGTTGGGGATGGGAGCCAACAAAGGAGAAGCAGAGACAAAAGATACAGTAAAAGAATCACAGGAACATTATCTGAGATTCTGGGTTCCAAAGCTCTTTATATGATTCTACAGTTTGAATCAATAAATTTTCTGTTATGCTTTAATTCAGTCTTGGCTGAGTTTTTCTGAGACTTAAGAGTACCAAATATAATCCACAAAGTAAAATTTCATAAATTTAAAAAAGGGTAAGTTTACAGTTTTCAGGAATACAAAAGTCTATTCACTAGCACATAGAATCCAGGAATAAATCTGTGTTACCAATGTTTGCTCCACGAATGTAAAGACAATTTAATACCAGAGAATTTATGAATGTAACATTTTTCCTTTGACATCAATAGGTCAAAGGAAAATATGTAATGATTATTTCAACACCTGTTGGAAAAAAAACTACTTATACAACTTTAAATCTTCTGTTTTTTTATTCCTATTAACTAGAATTTAAAGGATTCGCCATTAAATGAAAAATACTATCTACACCAAGACAATAGCCAAAATCACATATAATCTTGGAAGGGTGGGTGCATTCTCAGTCAAGTTAGGGACAGGACAAAGAAGTACACTATCATCAGTATTATTTAAAATTATCCTGAAAGTTCTATCATTCCAATTTCACAAGAAAATAAATCCAAATTGTAAACATCAGAAAGGAAATAAACTTTTTATCATTTATAGACAGTAACTGTTTCCCGAGAAAACTGTAATGTAATGAACAACAAAAATATGTAACACTAAGTATAGGGCTGGTAACAAAATATTAAAAAATGAACTTTTTTTCTGACTGTCAATAATGCCCAGTAAAAATACAAACAAAATAGCTTCACACATCAGTAAAAACCAATTAGAAAACATAACAAATTAGCAAACGTAACAGGCCCAAAGTGGGCAATTTATAATAGCAATAAAAATATAAAATACCTAAGAATAAAGTAACAAAAACCACCAGTAACAAGTCAGGGGCTACCTCTTGGCTCACGCATGATCCAAATAGCTGTGGTCAGGGCAGCAAGAAACAGGGGCAGGACAAGTGCTATATAACATTCCTAGTCAAGAGAGATCCATGTGCGTGCGTGTACACACACACACACACACACACACACACACACACACAAATCCTGGAAATCACTTGTGTGTCCCAGTAAGTCAACTGGCCAATAAATTACAGCACATTGATGGGGGGAGGGGGGAGGATGCACAATATATTATAACATAGAAACCACAGGTTAAAATATATGACCCCAAGGAAGAAATCAGGATGGTAGAACTATAGCTATTCTTAATTTTGCTCCTCTTTTTTTTTGGGGGGGGGGATGTAATTGGGTATTTATTTATTTGTTTATTTATTTATTTTAATGGATGGACTGCGGATTGAAGCCAGGACCTTGTGCATGCTAAGCATGCACTCTGCCACGGAGCTGTACTCTCCCCTCCCTAAATTTTGTTCCTGGTGGCTTTCTATTTTCCAAAATCTCTACAGTGAAGATAGATTTCTTTTAATCAGAAAGGAACCATTCGCTTTGTATCATGATTTTTTTAAATTTTTTTAAAATTGTACTTCACCCAGAGAAAACATTTTGATTACCTTTCCCACGTCACATCTTGTGCCTTCATTCACCATGCCGGGATCTGGAACGTCTGATCCTAGCTGGAAATCCACACCCCAACATTTGGTGCCTCTCCCAGGAGTTTGAATAATAGCAGGTACAATTCCAAAGACAGGTAATTCGTGTACGTTCTCACACTGAAGCTTTCCACACAAAGCATTCCTGGAAAGACAGAGAAATAATGCAACTATAAACTGTATCCAGCGTAGATGCAAATGAAAAATTATACATTTTTGTATATAGACAGAGTTTACTGCTACTGAGCTGAAGAGAATCTCAACACAGAAAGCGCAAGAGAGCAACAAAGATCAAAATCGCTCTCTTCAAACATGGCGAAGACGCAAGTGGATGCAAAGACGCAAATTAGGAGGGTACCAGGCGGTGCTGATGCTCCTTCTTTTCTGACACCTAAAAATCCCTCTTCTCTATCTGTAGAGCTCAAAAAAGTCTAACTAATAAAGCTGTTTTTACGTATGATATAATTATATTAATCCTTTTACACAGAAAATAACAGAACTATACCAAAATTCAATTGTGTCTTCTTACAGAGTTATACAGTAAGGAGGAAGTTAGAGTCTGTAATGATAAATAACCATGAAAGGACTCCGCCTTTCTTCGTGTGGCTAACTTTTAGTTAACTTACTTAAACACTCGATTCATTAACTCATTAATGCACTAGATCAATTCACTGATTCAGTCCTGGAGCTCTAAGAAACCTCCCAGACTACAATTCCTATTACCAAGGCTGTATGAGTTAAATGTCCTTCCTGTATCTTTTCATGATACACTAAGTGTTCCCAACATCAACTTTTATGATACTGTTTGAAATTTCCTATTTAATTGATTGTCTTTTGATCCAAGCACCTAGCCGATTCTTAAATCTCCCCTGTGATATACCACTGCCAAGTCATTATAGGACACTGTTTTCCAATTCCTCTAACTCACCACTTCCTAAATATTCTCATTCTAACTATCATAACATTCTTCTATCCTTGAGTTAAAATCTTTCCTCCCTATAACTTTTCCTCATTGGTCCCAGACCTTCCACATGAAACTACACAGGTAATGTCTTTTCTTTCCTCCACATGGCAACTTCTTAGGACAATTATCAGGTAGGGTCCAACTACCTACTTCACCAGGGTAATATTTTACAATCATTTCTCATGCAACAAGGAAGTTCCCCTCTAAAAACGTTCCAGTTTGTCTCACTGCATCTCCAAGCAAAGTGCTCAGAGTGAAACATGAAATTCCAGTTACAGCCTGACAAGCAAAGAACAAGATGGAGCTCTCATTTCCTTTATTCTAGATATCGTACTTCTAGGAAGCCTAGGCTGACAGTAGCTTTTATGGTAACTACATTACATGACTGATGTCTTTAAACTTATCCCTAGCTAAAACCCCTACTCACTTTTTGCACATGTTGCTATTAAGCCTCTTCTTCACTAGATGGATCACTAGAAGTGAAATAGAATCAGCAGTAAAAACCCACCCTGCAAACGAAAGCCCAGGACAAATCAGATGGCTTCACTGGGGAAGAACTCATATGGATCCTTCTCAAACTCTTCCAAAAGACTGAAGAGGAGGGGAACACTTCCAAACTCATTCTATGAAGCCACCATCACCCTCATACCAAAACCAGACAAAGACATCACCAAAAAAGAAAATTACAGGCCAATATCATTGATGAACATAGATGCAAAAATCCTCAACAAAATATTAGCAAACAGAATCCAACAACACATAAAAAAGATCATACACCATGATCAAGTTGGATTCATCCCAGGGACACAAGAATGGTTCAACATACGCAAATCAATCAACGTGATACACCACGTCAACGAAAGAAAGGACAAAAACCACATGATCGTCTCAATAGATGCAGGTTATATATTTGCATAATGAAACGCTACAAAGGCATACAAGAAGCTAAAAGACATGTCGGGTGTGGGGGTAGCGTGGGAAGAGGGAAAAAAAGGAAAGGAGTGAAAGCCACACTTTCTCTATGTCCCTTTAAACATTTCTGAATGACAATAGCCACAACAAATTAAATCATGACTTAAATTCATTTAAAACAAAAGTGAAATACCTACTTGATGTAATAAATTGGAAAAGTAATTTTTAAGATAATACTCTATTACACTGATGAGGGGGCTGGAAGAGCACGAATCAGCCAAACATTCTGAAGGCCAATTTGGAAATGTCTATGCAGAGCCTTGAAACTATCCTCCATATTCTTTGACCGACAAAAATCTACTAAGGAAATAATCAGAGAAACAAATATTTAAACTGCATTTATCACAGCCTTGTTTAAAATAACAAGCACTGGAAACAACTTACATTTCTACCATAAGGAAATGGTTAAAAGAAGCTGGGTATACCCTACGAATGCTCTTTCTAAACAATTTTTATTTTTTTAAATTTGTTTTTCCGTATACTTTCTGGGAGACTTTATTTATTTACTTATTTTTTTTAGCTTTTTTTGAGGGGGGAGGTAATCAGGTTTACTTATTAATTTATTTTTGGTAGCAGTGCTGGGGACTGAACCTAGCACCTTGCACAAGCTAAGCACGCACTCTACCACTTGAGCTATGCCCTCCCCCACACCATGAATACTCTTAACATCGTGGAAAGTGATTACATCGACTTATAAAACAGTATAAACCATACTATGAATTTTGTTTATAAGTACAAATGTGGGCCTCTGAGTACCATACGTATATGTTTATACATGTATGATGCATGTACACATGTCTATAAATGTATACACACATGAGAAGGAACTACAACCAAAATTTGACGGAGTTTTCTCTGGATAGTAGGACCATATGTGATCACTTTCCCAAGACTTTTCTATGTGTTATACATTTTCTGTGATGGGGATGATGACAAAGCAATGATGCTGACATGACAATGATGAGTCCTACAATGAACTGGGGACACTCCTTAGTCCTAACACCCCCCAATTCATTCAGGCTCCAAAACAACACTCAGAAATGGGTACTGTTATTATCCTCATCTCACAGAAGAGGAACATGAGGTCTGTAAGTGAAGCATTTCGTCCAAAGTCTCCGAGATCTTAAATGGCTGAAGCAGGATTCAAACCTAGAATCTAACTTCAAATGTGTTTGCTAAGGCAATGGTTTGGACATAAAATTTTCCCACACAATTTAAATATGCTAAAAAGTTATTAAGAATAATAGTTTGACTTTCCCAGAAAAAAGCAGTGTTATACAAATGCAGGAGAATTTCTATCTACACCTAGTTTGAGACAACAGGTTAGTCGAAACAGTTGTGTTTATCCCCCTTTTGAAATACTTTGGTTTTATAATTTCTCTCAATCTACTCTATTTCAATATATCAAGAAATGTATATTCTAGACATTCTGTGAAATGCTCTTTATGTGGATAACTAATTTGTAAAGAATCAGAGCAACATAAATTGGCTAACTTTTTAAAAAGCATACAGCATTAATAACATCTGTCAGAGGGGTACCTGACTCTGTTAAAGAAGTTGAGGAAAGTCTTCCTTAGAGAAGTTGTAATTATGAGATCTAGCAGGGAGAGAAGAACATGCCAGGCAGAAGGAGCAGTACATGTCAAGGGCCCGGGGCAGGTCACATGCAGACCAGAATAGCCAAAGTATTTCACAGCATTTAATGGCTCAGTAGAGAAAGATGAGCCCACAAATAAACACATTAAAGGCGCATCCAGAAATAGAAAAAAATACTAAAACATTCTACATAAAAGCCAAGGAAAGGGGGTTTTTTCAAGGAGAAAATGGTCAACACAGTTGAATGCTACTGAAAGGTCAAGTAGCATGAAGACATAAAAATGTCTCTTGGATTTAGTAACATGGAGGTCACTGTAGTTACTTCTTCTTGGTAAGCACTGTTTTCACTGCAGCTACATAACCTAACTGGCAGACTAGGAGATGGAGTGGCCAGAAGGGCTGCACAGTATTACAGAATAATTTCAATCACATAAAATGTTAGTGTGTACAAGGACACTGCACAGAAATTTTAAAAAACGAAGACATCCACTGAAATTAGTGAATATATAGACGGACTATGGATGACTTTTCTCTTGTTTATAATTTTATAACATTATTTTTTACAATATGCAAGTGTTAGAGAAACAAAAAAGGTTTTTAATTTGTCACTTTAAAATTATATAGAGCCAGAAGAAAATAATGAAGCCCAGAAATAATTCTGCAGGTACTTTTATCTACAGATTTAACAGCATAATCTTTAATGAAAGGAAGAGGAAGAAGAATGTTTATCTGAGGTTCTTACAGTAGAGCAAGGATAGACAAAAGTAAGCTGTTAAAAACCACTAAATTTGTGGTGGGAGGGGATAGCTCAGTGGTAGAGTGCATGCTTAGCATGCACGAGGTCCTAGGTTCAATCCCCAGTACCTCCTCCAAATATAAACAAACAAATCCAATTACTTCTCCCTCATAAAAAACAAAACAAAACAAAAAAAGAGATAAAAATCATTAAAAAACATTTTAAAAAAACATTAAATTTTAGACAGGTGAGGTCAAAAGGCATAAATTATTTTACTTTCTCTATTCAGAGTCTCTCTGAAGCCATGTGTTGCAAAATTGTAAGTTTGAAAAGACAGATATTTAAGGGAGAGAAAGTCGGTAGTCACAAGAAGCAATTAAGGATGACCAGTCTTATAATTTTTCATATTCTTTTACAACCTCACCTCCACTTACCCAGTGGCACACTTCTTGTATTCATTGTTAGAAAAACCACAATTGCCAAATCTGTCACCTTTGGAATTCACATCAATGAAACAATCTTTGGGGGCAGCCTTGGCTTCTGTAACATCAAAAATTTAAATTAAAAAATTATGGCAATTTAATTCAGAAATGAAAGCATTCCTTACGACAGTCCATACGCCTGGATGAACTGCCTCAACATCTGTGAAAAAGTTTCAGGACCTAAAGATAACACGTTTTGTTCCACATTTTATGATTAACAAGAAAATGCAAAAATAAAGCTTAGATGGTACTTAAAAGTTAGCCTGGACTCAAACACTCAGGCTGTAAAAGAAATGTCATAAAACAAGATGAAATTATAAATAAATTGAAAACCATGCACTGTATGAACTTTCAGCATATTAGTCCTTATTGCTTTCAAACACAGATCTGCTGCTCCCTGGCTAGATCAGGCTGGGAAGTCTTTTCCTTCCAGGCTTTTATGGAGACTTCTTTACCTAGGCATGACTGACAATCACTGGCCATGAGGGACTAAAAGTTCCAACCTCTAAAGGTAGGGTTAGTTCCCTGGCAAACAGTCCCATCCTTAGGTCACCCAGGGACTTTCCAAAAGTCACCTCATTGACATAACAAAAGATGCTTTTATGGCTCTTATCACTTGGGAAATTCCAAAGGTTTTAAGAGCTCATGCCAAAAACTGGACAAAGACGAAACCTTTTTTATCATTATAAATCACAATATCTCAACAGTCAACACAGCTCTTATAATAAAATTATAATTAATCCATATTAAGAGGATGGAGAATGAAAAATGAGCAGGAATAGGATGAGAGTTGACAAGTGTTGAGAGACAAGAAGGTAAGAAATTAAATTCTCATCTGTCACAGTGAAAAATTGATAGTTAATACCTAGAATGGAAAAACTGAAAAGTAGCATTATCCAGAGATTATCTAAAGGCCTGGAGCAGGTAACACAGTACGCGGGTAGAAATCAGTGAGTAAAGGTAAAAGCGGTTGCCTCAAGGATGTGGCTATTGAAAGAGAAAGAAAAATATGATATGATATCACTGACATGTGGAATCTAAAAAAAAAAAAAAAGAAGACACTATGAACTCACCTACAAAACAGAAATAGACTCGCAGACTTAGTAAACAATCTTATGGTTACTGGGGAAAGGGGG